CACTGTAGGTTATGATAGTCATTAAGATGCATCACATGCTTCTGGGAATAAGGCATGATGCAATAAAATAAAGGTCAGGAGAAAGGTTGGCAGTCAACTTCTTAAACATGGCTACTGCAGTGGAAAATAGTATATGGTAGAGCAAAATTAACACACCTAGGTTAAAATCCTTTGAAACTTACCTGCATTAGAAATTGGTCAAGTCCTTGACCTCTCTAAGGTAATTTCCCAATCTAATAAGGTGGATTAAATATTTATCACTCGGGTTGCTGTGAAGATTAAATGAATATGTATGTATAGTACACATATAGTATATACTTGACTACATCCAAGAGAATCGCTCAGAATATATATATGTGTGTGTTTATGCATATATATATATATATACATGAACTAGCATACTACCAGAAAGGCAATGCTTTCTTTAGTATTCATTATTAAAACACTGCCATCAACCTATCATCTTCTCCAAGGCCTTTAAAGAAAGTAAGAAAATAAACATTCTCTTTCCTCTTTAAAGATGGCGTATCAGGAGTAACTTGCTGAAACCCATTGAGGCCTCAGGCCTCAAAAAAAAAAAAAAAAAGTCCTAATCATAGTACCAGTGTACAGTCAGGTTGTCTTTATGGCCAATCTCTTACCTGCTGCAGTGCAAAAAAACATACTAAAAGTCTTGTCACAATTCTTAGAGTAACTGAGTTTTAAGACTCATTAAGAGACTTTCAATTTGATTTTTTAAAAAGTGAGAGCCTTAGACACTATAATCAAATTGGAATCCTACAGCAAAAAAAGAAAAACAGCATTCTACAAAAGATAACAGGTAAACTGTTCAACCCTTGAAGACATTTCAGATTTTAGCACTGCTTCTGAAATTCTTCAGCTCATACCGTTAGTCCAAAATGGCAGGAATCAAATAACAAAAACAAAACAAACAAAACCCAAAATGGTAGGAATCATAAAATAACATGTGGAATGGGCCAAAGAATTATGAAGTCTTGGAGATGGAAGAGACCTCTGAAGTCATCTAGCCCAAGACCCTCCTTTCAGTGGAGAAAGAAGACAACAGGAGAGATTCCATGCTATTGGGTTGGTGCAAAAGTAACTGCAGTTCTGTCATTGACAGTAGTGGTACTTATGCAGTGGCTCACACCTGTAATCTCAACATTTTGGGAGGCTAAGGTGGGTAGATCAGTTGAGGTCAGGAGTTTAAGACCAGCCTGGTCAACACCGTAAAACTCTGTCTCTACTAAAAATGCAAAAATTAGCCGGACATGGTGGCACATGTCTGTAACCCCAGCTACCAGAAGGAAGAGGCAAGAGAATCACTTGAACCTGGGAGGCAGAGGTTGCAGTGACCCGAGATCGTGCCACCGCATTCCACCCTGGCAACAGAGCGTGATGAGTCTCAGAAGAAAAAAAAAAGGAAAGAAAGAAAAGAAAAAAGAAAGTAATGGTACTTTTGCTCCAACCCAACACCTGTCAAGTTTCTTTAGCTTCCTCACTCACATTGTCATAATTTCCCCGAGACTTCCCTTGCACTTAGCAGATCACATAGAACAGGTTCAAGTGCCTTTTAATATGGGCCCAAACAGTGGAAAAATCCAACAGCATACATGTTCTTGGACCTGATTAAACCATCAAGTTCCTGAGTACAAAGCTGGACAAAGACAAAGAGTGACAATGCTGTCTACAAAAGAAACGCAACCTTAAAATTAGAGGATTTTCATATTTCTTCTATAGAAAGAAAGATACTTATGGGACTTCCAAAATTATGTAGAAATTTCTAGTGGTGATTAGTTTCTAGTGGGATTTTGTTTCTAGTGGGATTTTGAGACTCACAGTCTCTTCCCTATATATCTTCATGATGATACCACAAAGAAAAGCTGCATTAGACTCTCAAAGAAGAGTATCACATACTAGGAAAACAGTTCTGGTAAGTGATAAACATGAACTTGAAACTTTTCTTGTTAACTGAACCAACCAAATTTCAAATGAATGTTTTCACCCAAGTTCATTCCTAAATTTGTGGCTCTACTCTCCCAGGAAGTTCACTGACTTATATGATTACGACATGGAAATGCTTATGAAAATTTAGGAAGCCACTGAGTGAATAAATACATTCATTTGTAATAAGGACATGATACAGAAATCAACCCATTTTTAGTGAAATATATTAGCTAGACATAATTATTCCCTTTAAATAGTCCTTGAAGCTTGTCCTAATGCCAATGCCAATGTTTTGGGAAAATACTAACACTAGGAAATTTATGATTGCAAATGCCAAAAAAGATGAAGTGATATTACATTGAATTTTAAGAAGATTTCATGTTTAGAACAAGAGATAGACAGGAGATCTGGAAATACTGTGGATGCCACAGCAAAAGGACTATGTCAAAGTACATTAAATTCTTAAACAAAAGGCAAGAATCAAATCTCAAACATCTCGAGAGGTAATAAAATAAGTGAAGAGCTGGGCACCGTGGCTCACGCCTATAATCCCAGCAATTTGGGAGGCCAAGGCAGGCAGATCACAAGGTCAGGATATCAATACCATCCTGGCCCACATGCTGAAACCCCTTCTCTATTAAAAACACAAAACTTAGCTGGGTGTGGTGGCACACGCCTGTAGCCCCAGCAACTTGGGAGGCTGAGGCAGAATCACTTGAACCCGGGAGGTAGAGGTTGCAGTGAGCCAAGATGGCGCCACTGAGCTCCAGCCTGACCACAGAACAAGACTCTGTCTCAAAAAAATAAAATAAAATAAAATAAAAAATAACTGAAGATATTTAGGCTAAAGAAGAAAGAGGCAAAACAGGAGCAGAACTAGAGCATTTACTACTTACACAGCAATCAGAAAAGGAACTAGCATTGTTTTAAATGGTACTAGAGAACAAGTTACCAATGAATGAAAAGTACAGAAAAACAGATTTTGTTTTAAAAGTAACTTTCTATGTTAATCGCAAAAGTCAATACATATTAACAGTGAGTGAAGGAGAAATTTATATAAAATAGCAAAAAAATGAATCCAAGAAACTTGGGCATACCAAATGAGCCTTTGACTAAAGTTTAGGCCCACAAATGGAGCATGACATTAATCCATTAAGATTAGTGACAGGCCAGGCATGGTGGCTCACGACTGTAATTCCAGCACTTTGGGAGGCCAAGGCAGGAAGGCTGCCTGAGTCCAGGAGTTCAAGACCATCCTGGGCAACAAAGTGAGACCTTATCTCTAAAAAAAATAGTAATAATGATATTAGTGATGAGTTATATTCCACTAAGTAAAACCAACTTCCAATTTTTTATAATAGAAAAGAAGGCCAGGTGCAGTGGCTCATATCTATAATCCCAGCACTTTGGGAGGCTGAGGTGGGTGGATCATTTGAACTCAGGAACCAGCCTGGGGAACATAGTGAAACATCGTCTCTGTTAAAAATGCAAAAAGATTAGCCATACGTGGCAGTGTATACCAGTGGTACCAGTTACTCAAAAGGCTGAGGTGGGAGGATCGCTTGAGCCTGGGTGGGAGAGGCTGCAGTGAGCTGAGATCGTGCCACTAAACTCCAGCCCGGGCAACAGAGTGAGACCCTGTCTCAAAAAAGAAAAAAAAAAAAAAAAAAAGAAGAAGAAGAGAAGACATAAAGTATGGGTAATTCTGAAAGTCATATTTTATAAAGAATAATCTATCCAAGATGATTAGGCTACTGCAGAAATGCAGATGAGAAAAGGTGATGGACTACCCTACGTAGTGGTAATGGAAACAGAAGTGAAAGCATTTCAGGAACATTTCAGAAATGGAGCTCATGGTACTTGATGATTTATTAGAGACTCTTGGAATACAGTATTAGTAGGATTTATTGTGTCAGTTTAGCCATTCATCCATTAGCAATAACAATAGGAGACACATACTGCCTACCATGGGTCTGGCAATGTTGTAAACATTTTACATCCTTCTCACAACACCACGAAGTGTATTTACAACCATCCCCATTTTAGAGATGATAAACTAAGGCTTACATCACTTAAGTTAGCCAATAAGTACTAAAGAACCAGTAAGAGGTTAGATACAAGATTTGAACCCAGATACTGTAATTCCAAAGCTAAAGCTCTTAATCAATGAACTAAACAGCTGTAAAGGAAAGTCAACATAGTCCAAAGAAGGCAGAATGTAGTAATGTCAAGAGCCTGGTTTAATGAAGAGCCTCAGTGGAGGAAGAGGATAGCAGTTTGGCTACTCAAAATCACATGAGGTGTTCATTTAAAAAAAAAAAAAAAAATATATATATATATATATATATATATATATGTATACACACACACACACACACACACACACACACACACACACGTTTCACGTTTCGTTTTGAATCCAAATCCCTGCAGATGGGACATAGGAATTAAACTTTTTTTATTTTTTAAATAAAAGGCAAAACCAAAAAGCCCTGGGTAATTATGTGGCAGAACCAAGTTTGGGAACCTGTGTCAATAAAAGATTTCTAAGGGCTCTTCGTGATTTAACATTCTAGTTGACGCTCTAAATCAATTTCCCAGAAATGAAAGGAGCAAGGAAGGGTTCCCAGCTGCAGGAAAACGGCTATGCATTCAGAGTCCACACCGTTTATGCTCCCCTTGTACTAAACGATCCCTCGTAGGGACAGGGATAGAACAGACAACGGAAGGAAGGATGTGGTGTCCAAGGTAAGCTGGCTTAAAAGAGCAGGCTTTTAAAAAGGCTTTTCTAGCACGATTTGCAGAAAGAATCCCTTCTCGACTATATATATTTTGTGGCCACCCGACTGGATTTTGAGGTGGATTCCTCAGACTCGTATCTGGCTATTGATGGATTTCAATGTATTTTCTCTAAGCACCCCAAAGCTTTGGAGGAAACCTCTAGGTTGGGGCCTGCCTTCTCGGAGGCCAGGTGAATCCCGCTCAGCAGCAGAGGTGTCGGCAATTACACCCTGTAATCCCCTACTATCCGATATGGCTCGTTCCGCACATACCTGAGGGTCCTCTGGTAAGATTGATTTCTTCCTCAGTGACCAAATAATCCACTCTTCCGTTCATGTTTTACAGCTCGCCTGGCTTCCTACTTGGGTCAGCTGGAGTTCTGCAGGTGAAGGTGAATCAATCTCAGCGCTGCGCCCACAGCACAGCACTTTCGGTTTCAGCAGCCTCGAGACCCGGAAAAGGAAGTTCAAAGGACTCGGAGCGCTGGGAATGCTGGGAATCGTGGTTCTCACCGCCCACGGGTTGCAGTTTTTCACCGGTTCCCGAAGTCAAGAGGTGAGCAAGGGGCAAGTCGCCATTCTAACTTGCCATTGAAAGCAGGCGGGAAATGGGGTGGCTAGTAAAAGTAGGGGACCTAAAGAAATTGATGTTGTCGAGAAAAAAATAAAATCTCCTGCCGTCCTAGAAAATCTAAACAAATGTAGAAAGGGGAAAAAAAGTTGTATTATTCTGTAAGCATCGAACCAGCCTGAAATGGTGTCACAGGCAATCCACTAATGAGATTGCAAAGAGAGACAAAAATCTCGCCTTTTATGTAGCCAAGCACACGCGTGTACTCGTGGAAGACGAGTTAATGACATGGTTTGGTATTCAATTTTTTGGTAGTTTACCCTTGGAGTGGCTCTCTGTGTTGGCTAGTTGCCTTTATCCAAAGGAAAAATAAAATGTTATCTCTGTGACAAACAGGTACTTAAGGCTTGGAGCAGGGGCTTGGGTTAACTCCTGCGGTGTGGAACACGGGCACTGTCTACCCTGATACTTACATTTCAAGGAGTTGGCTCCTGGGATCTTAAGAAAAAGATTCCTAGCCGGGCGCGGTGGCTCAAGCCTGTAATCCCAGCACTTTGGGAGGCCGAGGCGGGTGGATCACGAGGTCAAGAGATCGAGACCATCCTGATCAACTTAGTGAAACCCCGTCTCTACTAAAATTACAAAAAAATAGCTGGGCATGGTGGCGCGTGCCTGTAATCCCAGCTACTCAGGAGGCGAGGCAGGAGAATTGCCTGAACCCAGGAGGCGGAGGTTGCGGTGAGCCGAGATCGCGCCATTGCACTCCAGCCTGGGTAACAAGAGCGAAACTCCGTCTCAAAAAAAAAAAAAAAAAAAAAGATTACTGGTTTTTATCTGACAAGAGGCTTATTTAGCTTTTATTTTTTATTTTTTTATTTTTTTATTTGTACCTGGGTATTTAGCTTTTAAAAAGACACACACACACACTCACACACACACACACATGGATTATAATTGCAATTTGCTCAAGAAAAATTTTTAAGAAAAGGGGGTGGGGGAATGTCTCATCCTTTTGGCAACCGGGAAAATTCAATATTTTTAATTTTTTAATCCTTACAATAAGGTTAACGCATGACTTAGACTTTAGCCCAGTCTGACTTTTGGAATGAGACATTCGAAACTGAACTTGAATGAAACTACAGGGGTCAAAAACACAAAAGCCTTAAAAGCCAGGAAGGTAACAACCTTGTGAAGCAACCTGGAGTTAGACCACAGGGATTGGTGGGGATCTTAGAGGACTAGGAAGTGCAAGGCCAATATAAAGACATTCAAATTCAGAGTAAAAAACCAAAGCAGCACTTTGGAAGGCCAAGACAGGCAGGTCACCTGAGGTCAGGAGTTTGAGACCAGGCTGACCAAAATGGAGAAACCCTGTCTCTACTTAAAATACAAAAAATTAGCTGGACGTGATGGCGCAGGCCTGTAATCCCAGCTACTTGGGAGGCTGAGGCAGGAAAATCCTTGAAACCAAGAGGTGGAGGCTGCAGTGAGCCAAGAACCCACCATTGCACACTAGCCTGGGCAGCAAAAGCGAAACTCCATCTCAAAAACAAAAAAACAAAACAAAACAAAACACCAAAGCAGCCGCTACCATGTTTATCAAACAGAAAAACAGGAGGAGATGGGGTCAGATTTGGCAGGAAAGCCTCTTATTTGCTCACTCTGAGAGAAGTTAAGATGAAATAGTGGAAAGAACACAGACTATGCCTTAAGACCTGAGCTCAAGTTTCCATTCCATTCCCTTACAGTTGTCTGTCTTTGAGCAAGGAACCCAACATCTCTGAACTCTGTTTCCCCATCTTAAAAAGGGATTGATAGTGATTCCTTACATGTTAGTTGGGTGAGTGAATAAAATTATCATTATAAAAGGCAGAGAATGATAAATGAAGAAAAGTAAAATACAAAAAAAAAGACACCGGGGCCCGGGTACAGTAGCTCAGCACGTGTAATCCCTGCACTTTGGGAGGCCGAAGTGGGCAGATCACTTGAGGTCAATGTTTGAGACAAGCCTGGCCAACATAGTGAAACCGCATCACTACTAAAAATACAAAAAAATTAGCCAAGTATGGTGGTGCGGGCCTGTAGTCCCAGCTACATGGGAGGATGAGGCAGGAGAATCGCTTGAACCTGGGAAAAGGAGGTTGTAGTGTGCTGAAGTCACACCACTGCACTCCATCCTGGGCAGCAGAGCGAGACTTTGTATCAAATAAATAAATAAATAAAATTAAATAAATGACATTGTAATGTCAAAAGAGAAAAGATCAAATAGAAATGTGGGAAAAATCAAGAAGTCATCAATGAGGAGATTTGTAGGGAAAAAACGCAAGGTTTCTTGTAGACCACTGTTGGGGTGATGGTGGGGGAATATCCTCTCGGTATCTGGAAAGATTATCCTTTTCATCTGAGCACACAGCTTCAAAAGAAACACACAGGGCAGTGAAAGAAAAAAGTATCACTAAATTAGTTGAGGAAATACTGGTAATAAGTAGAGTGAGAGATGGGGTGTGTGAATTTGCCTTTATTCTCTAATGGAAGTATGGCGTTGGACGCTTTTAAACTGAGTGAGTCCATCTTGAATAGGGGCTGGGTAAAATAAGGCTGAGACCTACTGGGCTGCATCCCCAGGAAGCTAGGCATTCTTAGTCACAGGATGAGATAGGTCACCAGAAGGTACAGGTCACAAAGACCTTGCTGATAAAAGAATGCGGTAAAGAAACCAGCTAAAATCCACCAAAACCAAGATGGTGATTAAAGTGACCTCTGGTCACCCTCACTGCTCATGATTTGCTAATTATAATGCATTAGCATACTAAAAGACACTCCTACCTGCACCATGACGCTTTACAAATGCCATGGCAACATCAGGAAGTTACCCTGCATGGTCTGAAAAGGAGAGGAACCCTCAGTTCCAGAAATTGCCCACTTGTTTCCCCTAAAACTCATGAATAATCCACCCCTTGTTTAGCATATAATCAAGAAATAACCGTAAAAATAACCAAGCCACAGCCCTTGGGGCTGCTCTGCCTATAGAGTAGCCATTCTTTATTCTTTTACTTTCTTCATAAATTTGCTTTCACTTTACTGTGTGGACTTGCCCCAAATTCTATCTTGCACAAGGTTCAAGAACCATCTCTTGGGGTCTGGATCAGGACCCTTTTCCAGTAACAATGGAAGGATGAGGAAGCTAGCTGGGGTTGATGATATGCCAGTAGTCCCAGCTACTCGGGAGGCTGAGGCAGGAGGATCACTTGAGCTCAAGGGTTAGAGGCTGCAGTGAGCTATGATTGAAGCACTGTGCTCCAGCCTGGGTAACAGAGCAAGACCCGTTCTCTGTTAAAAAATAATAAAAGTAAATAAATTTAAAAAAACAACGAGGGAGGTTTAATATGTAGGAAAGCAAAAGACAGAGGAAATGAGATTCTACTCAAAAGAAACAATTGAGAAAAATTATGGAATCAGGCTGGGTGCAGTGGCTTACCCCTGGAGTGTAGCCTTTACCTCATGGTCCAAAATGCTTAAGATGGATTTTGGAACTTCAACCATCATATCTACAGTCCAGGAAGATAATGAACGAGAGGCAAAGAAGACCTCCTGGAAATGTCCCTATACTTCCTTAGCTGATGAAACTCTTTTCTGATTGACATACTTTTTTACTTTGTTTTATTAATATTACACTTAATCAGGTTATATTAGTTTGTTAGTGTTACTGTAACTAATACTACAGACTGGGTGACTTAAACAATGAAAATTTATTTTTTTTACTGCTGTGAAGTCTGGAAGTCCAAGATCAAAGTGCTGGTAAAGTTGGTTTCCTCAGAGGCTTCTTTCTTTGGCTTGCAGATGGCCATCTTCTACCTTTAACTTCACGTAATCTTTCCTCTATGTGCACACATCTGTTTCCAAATTTCCTCATCTTATAAGGACACCAGGCCAGGCGCAGTGGCTCATGCCTGTAATCCCAGCACTTTAGGAGGCTGAGGCGGGCAGATCACCAGGTCAAGAGATCGAGACCATCCTGGCTAACATGGTGAAACCTTCTCTCTACTAAAAATAGAAAAATTAGCTGGACGTGGTGGCGCATGCCTGTAGTCCCAGCTACTCAGGAGGCTGAAGCAAGAGAACTGCTTGAACCCGGGAGGTGGAGGTTGCAGTGAGCCAAGATTGCACCATTGCACTCCAGCCTGGGCAACAAGAGGGAAACACCATCTCACAAAAAAAAAAAAAAAAAAAAAAAGGACATAATTCATATTAGATTAGGACCTGCCCTAAGGACCATATTTTAACTTACTTTTACCTCTGTAAAGACCTTTTCTCCAATATGGTTACATTTAGAGGTATTTCAGCAAATGAATTTGGCAGGTGTACAACACAGCCCATAACACGGATTACAGTGAAGTCACAGCCTTTGGTATTACAGTGAAGTCACAGCCTTTGGTATTGCATATCTCTGCTCTGGCCCATTACATGTTGGTTTTAAAGTTTAGCCTTGATAGCAGTATTATTTCTTTAATTTTCAAGTTCTTGCAGAAATTTGCACCGCTGACCCCAGCTATTGATGATAGCAGGTATCCACAAGGCATTTACAATTATTTCATCTTCTGCTGTCCTTTTTGATTGATACTCTTTATTCTTCTGTATATATACACTATCTTTTCAAGAAATCTAATTCAGTCCCCTGGCTGTAATGCCATTAATATGCCAGCTCTCATGTCTCTTCACTGAGCTTCAGCATTCTGTAGCCCAGTTACCCACCTGTCATCTCAAAATTTAGATGCCTAGCAGGCATCTTAAATTATGATAAAATGCGAGTTTCTAATCTTTATACCTCTAAACTTATACCTGCCTGAGTTGTTCCCCTTCCTTGAGTAACTCAGTTTACTTAGTTCATATGAAAA